ACATAATTTTGTTTCATTAGTTCAGATTGGTTTAAATTCGTTACTATTGTACAGTAATTTGGAAATTCGGATACATCCGCATAACAAAAACATTTGGAGGTACTGCCCAGACACAGCAGAGGTCCCTGGTTCAGGTCTGGGCCTCGCCATGCTTTAGTAGCCAATTTAGCACGTTGATGACATGAAAAACTACTGATGTCTTGGAGACACTCCGGCCTCCTTTCTGAAGGTGACACGTCTCTGCCATCTTGAGCAAGGAGACCAGAGTGTCTCCGAAACATTGCTGGTTTTTATGTCCTTCATGCTCTAAATACACTATATTGCCAACAGTATTGTCTCCGCCCTCCATATCATGTGATTCAGGTGTTCCAATCCCCTCCAAATCATGTGATTCAGGTGTTCTAATCCCCTCCATATCATGTGATTCGGGTGTTCCCATTCCCTCCAAATCATGTGATTCAGGTGTTCTAATCCCCTCCATATCATGTGATTCAGGTGTTCCAATCCCCTCCAAATCATGTGATTCAGATGTTCCAATCCCCTCCATGGACACAGGTGTATACAATCAAGCCCCTAGGCATGCAGACGGCTTCTACAAACATTGGTGAAAGAATGGGTCGCTCTCAGGAGCTCAGTGACTCCAAGCGTGGTCCCGTGATAGGTGGTCACCTGGGCAATAAGTTCATCCGTGACATTTCCTGGCTACTAAATATTCCACGCTCAACTGTTAGTGGGATTATAACAAAGTGGAAGCAACTGGGAACAACAGCCACTCAGCCACCAAGTGGTAGGCCACGTCACATGACAGGGCGGGGTCAGCGCATGCTGAAGCGCACAGTGCGCAGAATTCGCCAACTGTCTGCAGAGTCAATAGCTAAAGACCTCCAAACTTGGTGTGGCCTTCAGATGAGCCCAACAACAGTGCGTAGAGATCTTCATGGAATGGGTTTCCATGGCCGAGCAGCTGCATCCAAGCCTTCCATCACCAAGTGCAATGCAAAGCGGCGGATGCCGTGGTGTAAAGCACGCTGCCACTGGACTCTAGAGCAGTGGAGGCGTGTTCTCTGGAGTGACCAATCACGCTTCTCTGTCTGGCAATCCGATGGACATGTCTGGGTTTGGCAGTTGCCAAGAGAACGGTACTTGCCTGACTGCATTGTGCCAAGTGTAAAGTATGGTGGAAGGGGATTATGGTGTGGGGTGTGTTTTTCAGGGGTTTGGGCTTGGCCCCCTAGTTCCAGTAAAGGGAACTCTTAATGAGACATTTTGGACAATTTTATGCCTCCAACTTTGTGGGAAGAGTTTGGGGATGGCCCCTTCCTGTTCCAACATGACTGCCCACCAGTGCACAAAGCAAGGTCCATAAAGACATGGAGGAGCCAGTTTGGGGTGGAGGAACTTGACTGTCCTGCACAGAGTCCTGACCTCAACCCCATAGAACACCTTTGGGATGAATTAGAGCGGAGACTGCGAGCCAGGCCTCCTCCCCCGACATCAGTGCCTGACCTGACAAATGTGCTTCTGGAAGAATGGTCCAACCTTCCCATAGACACCCTCCTAAACCTTGTGGACGGCCTTCCCAGAAGAGTTGAAGCTGTTATAGCTGCAAAGGGCGGGGCCAACTCAATATTGAACCCTACGGACTAAGACTGGGGGGCCATTAAAGGTCATGTGTGGGGAAAGGGCGGGGCCAACCCAATATTGAACCCTACGGACTAAGACTGGGGGGCCATTAAAGTTCATGTGTGTGGAAAGGCCGGCAATATAGTGTATGCTGTTGTTGCCACTGAGACCCCAAATTTGAGGTCTTTGGTGTGGTGGCCATTTTTGTGTCTTAGAACCTGACAAGGGACCTGATCCTTCAATATTCTATCCCAAAAAAAAAGAGAAGAGTTTTGGCTATGCACACACTAAGGTCACCATGAACATCCTGGGCCACTTTGAACTTCTGCTTGGCTCTGCAAATTTTCTCCCCTTCTGGCAGAAGACTTGTAAGATCATTAGCGAGTACACAACGCCGGCTCATCGTTGTCGGAAAATCGCGGCGTGTTTAAATTACCATCAACATCAATCTCCATCGTAATACCCTGAAAAGTTAATTGTGTTCTCGCCATAATGGATTGTTCATTTTAAATTAATTCCATTATGATTTAAATGATCCACAAGCTACATAAACGCCGGCAAAAGCGCCATCGCAAATTCTGAAATTATAATCAATAATTCTCATCCAATTAAAATCATTCTCCATGTAATTACTGAACGCGGCATCCAGTCCGGCCATCCTTTCCCCGGCTCCGCTATGGAAGTGACTGACATACATGGAGCGACAGGTCCTCCCGTAGACGTCTTCTTCGTTTCCATCAGCTTTAATTAGAGCTGGGGGGGGGGGGGGGAGGGGTGAATGTAATCAGTCCATTTATTTTCTGCCGATATCATTTGCGGGTGTTTTGTCGTTTTCAGTATTTTTTGTGCATAATGCAGCTTTGCCATAACAAAATGTGAACGTGATGTGTGTCATTCTAAGCATAGCCAGGGGTGTCAAACTGGGGGCCCTCCAGCTGTTGCAGAACTACAAATCCCATGAGGCATTGCAGGGCTGACAGTTAAAAGCATGACTCCTAAAGGCAGGGGCATGATGGGACTTGTAGTTTCTCAGCAGCTGGAGGGCCACAGTTTGACACCCGACAGTCAATTTAACCCCTTGGCGCCGGCACCTCCCATCCCTTTAAGGGTTTCAGAAGCCGGGAGGTGGGGTTTTAGGGTCATGTGACCGCCGTGATTCGCCATCACGGTGGTCACATGATCGGGAAAGGTCCCGATCGAAAGAGGAGTTCGGGACCTTTCCATGAGTACCGGACATGTGTGCTGGGAGCGTGCAGGGCGTGCGCTCTCAGCACGTATGTTTTTCTTAATTGCACGCAAATGTGCGGCTGCTCGGCGTCAAGGCCCAGACGGCAGGAAGTCACACATTCGCATGCGGCCGGAACGAAGAGGATAAGCCCGTGTTCACACTAATGCGGTGCGGAATTTACAGCGTTTTCTGGGCAAATTCTGCACCGTGTCACGATCGTGCCCCGCTCATGCGATCTGCTGCGGGCGTGTATATTAAGTTAACAGCTTAACCACTTGCCTACCGGGCACTTCTACCCCCTTCCTGCCTACCGGGCACTTCTACCCCCTTCCTGCCTACAGGGCACTTCTACCCCCCCTTCCTACCGGGCCTTCTACCCCCTTCCTGCCTACAGGGCACTTCTACCCCCTTCCTGCCTACAGGGCACTTCTACCCCCTTCCTGCCTACCGGGCACTTCTACCCCCTTCCTGCCTACCGGGCACTTCTACCCCCTTCCTGCCTACAGGACACTTCTACCCCCTTCCTGCCTACAGGACACTTCTACCTCCTTCCTGCCTACAGGACACTTCTACCCCCTTCCTGCCTACAGGACACTTCTACCCCCTTCCTGCCCACCGGACACTTCTACCCCCTTCCTGCCTACCGGGCACTTCTACCCCCTTCCTGCCCACCGGACACTTCTACCCCCTTCCTGCCCACCGGACACTTCTACCCCCTTCCTGCCTACCGGGCACTTCTACCCCCTTTCTGCCTACAGGGCACTTCTACCCCCTTCCTGCCTACAGGACACTTCTACCCCCTTCCTGCCCACCGGACACTTCTACCCCCTTCCTGCCTACCCCCGGGCACTTCTACCCCCTTTCTGCCTACAGGACACTTCTACCCCCTTCCTGCCCACCGGGCACTTCTACCCCCTTCCTGCCTACCGGCCACTGTCACCCCCTTCCTGCCTACAGGGCACTTCTACCCCCCTGCCTTCCCACCGGGCAATTCTACCCCCTTCCTGCCCACCGGGCACTTCTATCTCCTTCCTGCCTACAGGACACTTCTACCCCCTTCCTGCCTACCGGGCACTTCTACCCCCTTCCTGCCTACCAGACATTTCTACCCCCTTCCTGCTTACCGGGCACTTTTACCCCCTTCCTGCCTACCGGACATTTCTATCCCCTTCCTGCTTACCGGGCACTTCTACCCCCTTCCTGCCTACAGGACACTTCTACCCCCTTCCTGCCTACCGAGCACTTCTACCCCTTCCTGCCTACAGGACACTTCTACCCCCTTCTTGCCTACAGGGCACTTCTACCCCCTTCCTGCCTACCGGGCACTTCTAACCCCCTTCCTGCCTACAGGGCACTTCTACCCCCTTCCTGCCTACCGGGCACTTCTACCCCCTTCCTGCCTACCGGGCACTTCTACCCCCTTCCTGCCTACAGGGCACTTCTACCCCCTTCCTGCCTACCGGGCACTTCTAACCCCTTCCTGCCTACCAGATACTGTCACCCCCTTCCTGCCTACTGGCCACTGTCACCCCCTTCCTGCCTACCGGGAACTTCTACCCCCTTCCTGCCTACCGGCCACTGTCACCCCCTTCCTGCCCACCGGGCACTTCTACCCCCTTCCTGCCTACCGGCCACTGTCACCCCCTTCCTGCCTACCAGCCACTGTCACCCCCTTCCTGCCCACCGGGCACTTCTACCCCCTTCCTGCCTACCGGCCACTGTCACCCCCTTCCTGCCTACCGGGCACTTCTACCCCCTTCCTGCCTACCGGCCACTGTCACCCCCCCTTCCTGTCTACCGGGCACTTCTACCCCTTTCCTGCCTGCAGGACACTTCTACCCCCTTCCTGCCTACCGGGCACCTCTACCCCCTTCCTGCCTACAGGACACTTCTACCCCCTTCCTGCCTACAGGACACTTCTACCCCCTTCCTGCCCCCAGGCCAATTTCCAGCTTTCAGCGCTATCACACTTTGAATGACAATTGCGCGGTCATGCAACACTGCACCCATATGAAATTTTTTTCATTTTTTTGAGACAGATAGAGCTGTCTTTTGGTGGTATTTAATCACCTCGGGGGTTTTTATTTTTTCTTAAATAAACCAAAAACCACTGAAAATTTTGAAAAAAAAAATTTTTTTTCTTAGTTTTTGTTATAAAATTTTATAAATAAGTGATTTTTCTCCTTCACTGATGTGCGCTAATGAGGCTGCAGTGATGGGCACTGATAGGCTGCACTGATGGACAGATAGGTGGCGCTGATGGGCACTGATAAGGTGGCACTGGTAGGTGGCACTGATGGACATTGACAGGCAGCACTGATACATGGCACTGATATATGGCACTGATAGGTGGCACTGACTGGCACTGATAGGTGGCACTGACTGGCACTGATGGTTGACACTGAAAGGCAGCTCAGATGGGCACTGATATGTGGCATTGATGTGGCACTGATGAACACTGACAGGTGGCGCTGCTGGGGCCACACTGATCATCAGTGCCCTGATGATCAGTGTACATGTCCCCTCCGCGGAAAGCCAACTACCGGCTCCTCCCCTCTGTCAGCGTGACAGCTCGAGAGGAGAGAAATGCCGATAACCGGCATTTCCCTGTTTACATGCGATCACTGTGATTGGACACAGCTGATCACATGACCGAGCCGACATCTTCGGCTCTTTCCGTGATCGGTGATCCACTGTGTCTGAGGGACACAGCGCACCGCCGATCACCGCGCTGCACGCTCCCTGAGCCACGCATGCGGGGTGAGAATGGGAGGACGTCATATGACTCCTCCCAGAACGAGAGAACCGCCTTGTGTCTGTCATATTACTATATGGCAGGTGGGAGGTGGTTAAGGACCGCCCTATAGCAGATATACTGCTACAGGGCAGCACCTGTGCACAGGATCACACATATATATATACAGGATTTTGCATTTCCGGGTAGGGGGCACACAAGAGCAGCGCACGCGCCCTACCCGCACTGCCATTCGCAGACGCGGATGTCAATCACCAGGTCCCAGCCGGTGATTACCCGCTGGCACCCAGTGATTACCGAGCATCCCCAATGGGGAGGAAGATTGTTTTGTTTATTAACAGTCCTCCTCCCTGTCGGCTCGGGCACACTGTACAGCACAGCCATCCAGATCAGTGTGAGTACAGTGAAGCACACAGATTCCGCCCCCTAGTAAAACACTCCCAGCACACAGGTAACCCTTTGATTGCCCCTCATGTTAACCCCTTCCTACCCAGTGCCATTAGTAGAGTGTCAGGGCTTTTTATTAGCACTGATCACTGTATTGGTGTCACTGGGGATGTCAGTGACACCAAATCAGTTCCCCCTATACCGCCATTTGTAAACGCTAGAACTTTCCCATAAACCAATTAATTTCCACGTATCGGGATTTTTTTTAGCAAAAACACGGAGCGGGAGGCATTTTGGCCGAAATTTATGATGAAATTTGATTTTTTAAAAAATTTTTACTGGACCCTCCACCGTAAACAATAACCCCCCCCACCTCTCCACCCTAAACAATATCCCCCCACCTCTCCACCCTAAACAACAACCCCCCCCCACCTCTCCACCCTAAACAATAACCCCCCCCACCTCTCCACCCTAAACAATAATCCCCCCCCACCTCTCCACCATAAACAATATCTCCCCACCTCTCCACCCTAAACAATACCCCCCACCTCTCCACCCTAAACAATAACCCCCCCCCACCTCTCCACCATACACAATATCTCCCCACCTCTCCACCCTAAACAATACCCCCCACCTCTCCACCCTAAACAATAACCCCCCCCACCTCTCCACCATAAACAATATCTCCCCACCTCTCCACCCTAAACAATATCCCCCCACCTCTCCACCCTAAACAATACCCCCCCACCTCTCCACCCTAAACAATATCCCCCCCACCTCTCCACCCTAAACAATATCCCCCCACCTCTCCACCTCTACCCCCCCACCCAAAACAATATCCCCCCCCCCCCCTAAACAATATCCCCCCCCCCCCCACCTCCACCCTAAACAAACACCCCCCCACACATCTCTCCACCCTAAACAACAACCCCCTCAGCACTTCTCCAACCTAAACAGTAACCCCCTCCCTGCCTCTCCACCCTAAGGAAGAGGTGGAGCTCCAATAGGAAGAGGTGGAGCCTAAAGAGGAAGTGGTGGGCTTTACAGATGAAGGGGTGGATCTTTAACAGGATGGGGTGGGCCAAATTTGGATGTGGGGGGGGCACCCGATTTTAGTCGTGCCTAGGGCAGCACAAGACCAAAATACACGACTGGCCACAGGTAATAGTCCTGATTAGTCCACTCTGCACGACTTGTTTGGGTCCATCTTCCGGGACAGGTCACCTTTAGTGCTCAAGCGACTCCTTTGCTGATCACATGACTCTTGGATTTTGCGCTACGGACAAAATGTGATTATCGATTATTACTCTATGAAGCCTGTTTACAATATATTTACCATCGCTGACCACCTGATCAATATCAGGCGTTGAGGTCAGGCGATCATGTGGGATTTATCATCAGGTGGTAACTTGGTAGTTTTATTGCTGGAACATTCCACCCTGTCAGAGTTTCTGCACTTTTTATTTTATTTAATTTTTTTTAACTTCCTTTTTTTTTAATTAGAAAAGAAAAAAGAGAATTTCTGAATAAATGAAGGTTACAGAATAATGAGAGTTTAATTCTCGGCTGCACCTTCATGATACAAATCCTCCAATTTTTCAAAGCTCTTAATTATTTTTTAATGAAGAAGAAAATTAGTTAATCTTGTCGGGGGCTAGACGGCGTACAAGTACTTCTTACAGAAAAAAGAAAAAACGTTTGTCTGGTTCTAGTGCCGGTCGTGCTGGTCAAAGTCAGAGCAAATGAAAGCACTCAGATCTACCGGGGAGTATGAGAGAAACTTGCATCCTCAAGGTGGGTGACGGGCACTTGCAAGGAAGGCTCGGGACCTAAGCCTAGGAATACACGGTAAGAAAATCGTATGAAAAATGTTGTTGATCAAATGATCGACCGATTTTCTCGTCATTGATGAGCAGGATGTTATAACCGATAACGATATTGTGAACGAAAAAAAATCTGGTTGATTTTCTATGCGGTGGTATGACGGTCGTCCGAAAAAAATCCATCGAGCGCTATCACGCATGAGCGAAAAGAGAAGATGAGCCGGATGTTTATGTCCAAGAATCCATAAATCCAATGTATTCCACTTGTGTCCAAGAATCCATAAATCTGATTTACTCCAATTGTGTCTAAGAATCCATAAATCCAATGTATTCCAATTGTGTCCAAGAATCCATAAATCCAATGTATTTAAATTGTGTCCAAGAATCCATAAATTCAATGTATTCCAATTGTGTCCAAGAATCCATAAATCCAATGTATTCCAATTGTGTCCAAGAATCCATAAATCCAATTTATCCAATTGTGTCCAAGAATCCATAAATTCAATGTAATCCAATTGTGTCCAAGAATCCATAAATCAATTTATTCCAATTGTGTCCAAGAATCCATAAATCCAATTTGTTCCAATTGTGTCCAAGAATCCATAAATCCAATTAATCCAATTGTGTCCTAAGAATCCATAAATCCAATGTACTCCAATTGTGTCTAAGAATCCATAAATCCAATTTGTTCCAATTGTGTCCAAGAATCCATAAATCCAATTGTACTTCAATTGTGTCCAAGAATCCATAAATCCAATGTATTCCAATTGTGTCCAAGAATCCATAAATCCAATTTGTTCCAATTGTGTCCAAGAATCCATAAATCCAATTTACTTCAATTGTGTCCAAGAATCCATAAATCCAATGTATTCCAATTGTGTCTAAGAATCCATAAATCCAATTTGTTCCAATTGTGTCCAAGAATCCATAAATCCAATGTACTTCCAATTGTGTCCAAGAATCCATAAATCCAATGTATTCCAATTGTGTCCAAGAATCCATAAATCCAATTTGTTCCAATTGTGTCCAAGAATCCATAAATCCAATTTGTATTCCAATTGTGTCAAAGAATCCATAAATCCAATGTATTCCAATTGTGTCCAAGAATCCATAAATCCAATGTGTTCCAATTGTGTCCAAGAATCCATAAATCCAATTTGTTCCAATTGTGTCTAAGAATCCATAAATCCAATTTGTTCCAATTGTGTCCAAGAATCCATAAATCCAATTTACTTCCAATTGTGTCTAAGAATCCATAAATCCAATGTATTCCAATTGTGTCCAAGAATCCATAAATCCAATGTATTCCAATTGTGTCCAAGAATCCATAAATCCAATGTATTCCAATTGTGTCCCAAGAATCCATAAATCCAATGTATTCCAATTGTGTCCAAGAATCCATAAATCAATTATTCCAATTGTGTCCAAGAATCCATAAATCCAATTTGTTCCAATTGTGTCCAAGAATCCATAAATCCAATTTATTCCAATTGTGTCCAAGAATCCATAAATCCAATTATTCCAATTGTGTCCAAGAATCCATAAATCCAATGTATTCCCAATTGTGTCCAAGAATCCATAAATCCAATTTGTATTCCAATTGTGTCCAAGAATCCATAAATCAATTTGTTCCAATTGTGTCCAAGAATCCATAAATCCAATTTGTTCCAATTGTGTCCAAGAATCCATAAATCCAATTGAATCCAATTGTGTCCAAGAATCCATAAATCCAATGTATTCCAATTGTGTCCAAGAATCCATAAATCCAATTTGTTCCAATTGTGTCCAAGGATCCATAAATCCAATGTTGTTCCAATTGTGTCCAAGAATCCATAAATCCAATGTATTCCAATTGTGTCCAAGAATCCATAAATCCAATGTATTCCAATTGTGTCCAAAGATACATAAATCCAATGTGTTCCAATTGTGTCCAAGAATCCATAAATCCAATGTATTCCAATTGTGTCCAAGAATCCATAAATCCAATGTATTCCAATTGTGTCCAAGAATCCATAAATCCAATGTATTCCAATTGTGTCCAAGAATCCATAAATCCAATTGTGTTCCAATTGTGTCCAAGAATCCATAAATCCAATTTGTTCCAATTGTGTCTAAGAATCCATAAATCCAATTTGTTCCAATTGTGTCCAAGAATCCATAAATCCAATTGAATCCAATTGTGTCCAAGAATCCATAAATCCAATGTATTCCAATTGTGTCCAAGAATCCATAAATCCAATTTGTTCCAATTGTGTCCAAGAATCCATAAATCCAATGTATTCCAATTGTGTCCAAGAATCCATAAATCCAATTTGTTCCAATTGTGTCCAAGAATCCATAAATCCAATGTATTCCAATTGTGTCCAAGAATCCATAAATCCAATTTGTTCCAATTGTGTCCAAGAATCCATAAATCCAATTTGTTCCAATTGTGTCCAAGAATCCATAAATCCAATTTGTTCCAATTGTGTCCAAGAATCCATAAATCCAATGTATCCAATTGTGTCCAAGAATCCATAAATCCAATGTATCCAATTGTGTCCAAGAATCCATAAATCCAATTTAA